AACTTGGCAAATTTATTTATTTTGTACTAAGCTATCAATATTTTACTCAAAAACACACTTTATTAGTTTCCTTGTAGCAGCAAACCTAGGTACTCGTTAAACCTAATGTTATTAAAATATATTTAACTGAAAATCAATTCAGACAAATGGAAATTCGCTTAGTCGGCAGGTTTGCTGCGGCGGGGGTATTTTTAATTGTCTGTCTGGTTCCGATGCACAGCTTGGGTGGATTTGCGTTTCACATTAGTATTGTTGGAGTTCATTCTTTACGACAGTAATGGGGTGGGTTAATAACCGAAATTCAAATTTCAAATTGGGAGGCATTTGAATACCTGAGATAGCAGGCACAATTATTATCATTCACTTAATAATTTATATTAGATTGTGTGGGTATAGAACAAAAGATAAAAATATTAAGGCATTGCCATCCCTTTTATTTTTTATAATACTTTGATAAAGGTTTTTACTTTTTATGTTTACATATTTAATAGTGGAGAATTTAAACGTTGTTGAGTACACAGGTGTGCTGCGATTGGGGTTTTATAGATTTGGACTTATCCAAAAGTAAAATAGTTTTCTGTGCTGTATTCTGTGGAAACAGTGGGGCACTATTTCAAATCATGACTAATACAGAATGTTGTGATTATTCAAACCTACAAAACAATTGGTAAAAGTAAACATCTGCTTTGAATATAATATTTATTTGTAAACATTGTAGTTCCAATAGTCTGACATTGGACCCCTTAAAACCCTCTGGGGCGAAGCCCTTTTGACGAATCTGCACCGAACTTCACACAAACCATCCTTGAATAATGATTAAAATTCATTGTTGTAGCCCCGGAACTGTAATATATAAAATATTTGGCTTTACATTACCTTTACCTTTTGGAACTGAGAAAGGTAATGTAAAACCAAATATTTTCTTGAATAATGCTTAATAATGCCTGAAAGTTTTATTACAATCTGTCAAGTGGTTTCGGAGTCCATAGGGTACATCCATACATACATACTTCCTCTTTTATAGATATAGATTTATGCGTTATTTTAATACATTCTTTCCATCAACTCTCTCAAGACAATATACTAAGTAGATTTCTAATGAACAGACAAAATTGGAGACAAAGTTGAACAAAGTTTGGACAACGTTGGAATGACAAAATATTATTAATCTTAACAAAGCAACTAGAGAGTTGAATTGCAAACAAATTTAAAAAAATAAGCAGTTTAGGAATAAATTGTATTCTTCTAAAAAAAAACAAAAAAAACAGTATTATAAAAGAAAAATTGGTAATTATGACAATGTTAATATGGCATCTTGGAAGATCGTATATTCTGAAGTAGGAGCCAAAACTATAAATAATCATAATATAAACCTAATAGTAAATAATTATGTATGTTCTGACTCTTCCCTGGTCTGTGGCCAATTCATCAATTATTTTGCAGATGTAAAAGAAACTTAAACTTTCAAAATTGTTGATAATATTCTGCATCATGTACTTCCTTCATATAAAAGGAGCTTCAAATTTAGCTTTATTGATGAAAGCAACATTGATAAAATTAATAAAAGTGTCAAAAATTCCTATAGTGCTGGCTACGATGGTATTCCCGTGGTTCTTTTTTAAAAAGCTAAATCAGTCCTACTTAAACTAATAACCCATCTTATATTAATTAACTCATCTTTGATATCAGGAATTTTCCCTAGCAAACTCAAAATTAAAACTGGTGTATTCAAAAAATGAGACAGACAAACAGGATCAAACTTCAATTTCAAAAATCTATGAAAAGGTTGTTTATTACCAACTGGTATGCTTCTTTGAAAATAATGGTACATTTGATGACTACCAACATGGATTCCGCAGTGGCAGATCTGTCATAACAGCTTTCATTAAATCCATCGTTGATAGTTTAGAATAAAGTAAATCTAAAGTGGTAAATGGTGTATGTAGTGGTTCATGGACCTCAGTAAAGCTTTTGATCCATTTCTCATGAGTTGTTACTTTCAAAGCTCAGTGGAAGTCGACAAAATAGTACTGCATTGAACTGGTTCAATTCATATCTTTTTGGTAGAAAACAATAACCAGAACTGAGTCACTGTAATAATAAAAAACTATAAAATTGCTTACAATTCTTGTACTTGGCAAGTAAAATATGGGGTGCCCCAAGGATCAATCCTAGGCCTCCTTTTATTAATCTTTTATTTGAGAAATTTTCCGTAATTAAGAGATTTTAGCAAGCTTTGCTTATATGCTGATGATGCAAATTTAAAAATATCCGCAGAAATATATGCTGAACTTGAAGCCGAGGCCAATACTGATACTGTATATATATTATTACTCAACAGTATTTTAATTAGAATAATTTGCTTTTGAACACAGATAAAACTAATTTTATGTGTTTCCAAGCAGGCAAAACTAAAATACAAAATCTGCCAAAAATTGTAGTTAATAACAACACAATTCGAAATAAAAACCAAATCAAATGCTTCTAGGATTATAAATTGTTGAAAATTTGAAGTGGAGCCATCATATTGATCACTTACTTTCTAAAATATCATCTGGTCTATTTGCGCTAACAAGATTAAAACCCCTATATGAAAAGGAAACTTTAAAAATTATATTTTTCATACATACATTCAATCATATATTTTGGAGTTTCACTTTATGGTGCAGTAAAAAAGGAAAAAAATTAAAATCAATTCTAAAAATGCAAAAGAAAGCTTTTAGAATATTATGCAATTTAAAACGCAGAACTTCAGTCAAAGAACATTTTAAAACTGAGAATATTATGACTATTTATGGGATGTATGTCTATGAAACAGTTTTATCAGTAAAAGACAGATTTGATGAATTACAACTTACTGGAGACTACCACAATTACTTTACTAGAAATCGAGAGAACCTGGCCACAAGCTTGCATACTCTGCAACTTTTCACAAAGACACCTAAATATGCCGGTTCCAAATTTGACAATAAACTTCCTAAGGAAATTAAATTTGAAACTTCAAAAAATAAATTTAAATCGAAATTGAAAAAAAAATTCTAACAAACAAGGCTATGTACTCCTTTGAAGAGTTTTAGTTCCATAAGTTATTGCTTCATTTCATATAAATTGAAACTTTTGGTTTTAAAATAATTCTATTTATTATTTTAATTTGGATTTTTTCATGTAAACACTTTTACGTTGCACTGTTTGTTTTACTTTATTTGAGCAGAAAAGCTATTAATATTGATGGAATGTTGTTACACCATGCATGATAATGACGAGAGTTTTAGTTAAGTTAGTTTTATTAAATTACTCTTGACGCCATTCCTTTATTGATGTATTGTACTTAAATGAATAAAGTTATATGAATTGAATTGAACTAAGCATGGCATTATTATTAATTTTATTTATGAAAATTTTGTATAGAATAAAATATGCTAATTAATTGTTTGTTTTAATTGTTTGTACCGAATTTCATTGAAATCAGATCATTTTACTTCCAGTTATTTTATGTATATGGATTTGAACGGAGGGTGTTTTTAGCATCTAGGGACATAAAAACAAAAAAGTAAATCGGTCCCAGGTAGAGATCTTACTATTAGACCTACCTAGTAATAAGTTATTCACTATATGGGAAGTTCGCTAAATATAAATATTTACTGCGCTTTCGCTTAAGGATCTAGAATATGATCCCATCTTCAAGTGAGTTCTGAGGGAAATAGACTAGGAGGGAGTCCTACAAAGTAAGTTTTTAGACGTAGAAAACGTCATACAATTTTTGTGTTTTACTAATATTTATGAAAAATGGCCACAATCATTAAATCGTAGTTGAATTCTTTGTTGGAATATCCACTTATGATCACAAAATTAATTAGCTAGTACCTGTAGAGTCGATAGTTTCATCCTGTCATGATTGTTTTTTAAAATAAGTCCAGCGTATAGTATAGGCCCTACTTCTTAATTTAGAATCTTAGTCTTCGGACTAACTGCATTGTTGCATTAGAGGAGATAGAGAACGACATTTTGGATGCGTTCCAGTGATCCATTTTGGGCAAACTACAATTTAACTTTGGTTTGTTTTGCTCCGAAAATATATTGCAGCAACATATCCAAAAGTCGTCCACTACCTTCACCAATTCAACGACATGGTTATCTCCCAAAGACCAAAGTTTTGACTGCCTACTTTGACAGTGCCTACCATCAGGATTAAGAAGATAGAAGAAACTGCTTACTAGGGTATTATCGAATTAGCTACCATAATGTTGTGGGTTGGTATTAAGACCGAAAACCTTAATGGTTTTGGACCGCTTTCCCAAAAGTGTTTAATCTAACTCTCTGACTTAAATTAAAATGCCAATAGCGTGGGGAAAAACGTATTAATCATCCAATTAAGTTAATAAAAGTAGGTAAATTTAAAACTGGTTTAAATTACAAAATGTCAACCAACCAACCAAAATTGAAATTAATGGTTGAACAACGTTTACTCAAAAGATATGTTGACCTGACATCAGTGGTGTGCATAATTGAGTACCATACTTTTGTCCATGTATTCTACTTATCAGATCAGAACTTAAAATGCACCTCTGTGATCTTTCGGTAATATGTGTTCAATATATTTGTTGTATCAGTGCTATGGTGTGTTTGATATAGTTTTTGTTTTGTTTACCATTTGTAAACCTGGTATATGAACTGATTAACACTAATCAATCCTGTATAAAAGGATTTAATAATATATCTTTCTCTATTTCTGTTTGGTTACTGTGTTATATTTGTATTTATACTTGTTGTTCAAGAGTAAATCGATTTAAATATTCTTCTAACACTTTAGCTAACCAGATAGAAAAGAGTGTAATACATAGTATAAAATATATTTCACAAAATCTTCAAAAAACCCGCAAAAATAAGGGAAAAATAAGTTTTTCATGATTTTATCTAAACTATTGCATATTCTCTTTGGCTATGTTTACAAAGCAGACCAGGCAATCTTTTATTAACTACATTCACTATGTATTTTCTAGCTACTTCAGGAAGTGACGAGACAGCTAGGATCTGGGACTTTCTCCCTCAAAATTTCAAACAAAGGACAAAGAAGTCCAGCAAAATAAACTCAATTTCTGCTTCTCTAGAAATAGGAAAACGCATGGGATTGTCTATTAGATAAGCTACAAGTCTTTTGACTTTAAACTACAATTTAACCTAAGCAAACACTCTAAGAGTTTTACATCACAATGGTATGGTTGCATAGTTACCTTCTAAGAATTATATCCATAAGTATAGTAAGTAATTTCTCAAACCCCTTAAAATCTTTAAGGATATTTGAATTTTTCAATCAATTAAATGCATTGTGTCAAAAGCTTTAAAAAAGGTTATACTTAAATAAATTACTAATTTCAATTGGTCAAAAATATTCGGTACTTTCTGGTAGGCCTACTCAAGAATCAAATGGTCTAGTTAATTGAAACTTATTTCACATGCAAATAGCCATATCATTCATTAACTGAAAAATATATTTTTTCTAGTCAGTGTTAAGAATTTGGATTTTAGTTTAAAGATATATGTTTACTTTAGTAACTCTCTATGTTTGTTGTTATTTTTAAAATATTTTTTTATTTCAAACAAATTGCTTCATGTCATGAGCATGTTTTTAGTAGTACAAGTCTATGCTGTATTTACTTTGTTATTAAATATATTATTCCTCCAAACTTTAGTTTTTTATTTAATTAAATTTGTTTTCCTCATTGCAGCCAAATTATAATCTTTAAGGAATGTTCAAACTCTCCACTCCTTGAACATTTAAAAGTATTTTTGAACCACATTTAAAGGTTGTGGTTTCGGGACATTTTATATAATACAATTTCCATTAATTGTAGGCCTATGTAAATACCTACTCAGTTATAATCCAAGATGTCCAAGTTCAGGCGTCAAAGGATGTCATGATTATTTCAACTGAAGAGGTCGTGAACTCACATAAAGTACATAGGGACACGAACACGGACATTGGAACAAAACCAAGACCCCACTACACCACACTACTATTGTGGGGTCTTGGTAAAACGGTATATTTAAAACGAATAAATGATCAAGTCAAGACTGCGTCCTTTCACGCTGAAGTTGACTTCGTGAAGCTAAAACTAGTTGCGACATTAGCAACATTTTGGATTACAAAGAAGCATGTATTTACACCAATTCATATATTCAACGTATCCGGAGGCTAACGTCGAAAAATGAAAATACAATTTAAATGTATATTATTTTTAAATAAAACTCTTGGACGTAGCAGAATATTTAAACAGATAATTTATTATAAATTGGAAGATAGTATCAGCCTAATACTGATAGAAGATCTTTCTGTTAAAGGCTATACAGATGGTTGGAGCTATTTAGCTTAACAAAGTATAATATTACACTGAATAACCCTGTTGCAGCAAACATGGAGACGAGTAGAATCTCCAGATGCTTTGTTTACTTTGTGTTCAAACAGGTACACATTTAAAATAAATTTACACATATATAATGTACGGCTGTACACATAGTACAAATAACATTAGGTTGATGAGTAATAAGTACTTGGGTTTGCTGCTTTGAAAAACACTAACAATTTTCAGAGTATACTTTATGTAGTGATGACTCTGATAAAAGTGAAGAACGATGCCAATCTAATGAGAGAACTGTACTGTATCTAAGGCAACCTTCAAATTCTAGGTATAATCAGAAACTAGAGACAGATGTAAGGAGGAATATCTAAACATCCTGATTAAAAACAGCTTATCAAGAACATAAAGTTGTAAAGTTTTAGTTTATGTTTTCGTTAGCTTTATTTGGTTTTTATGCTAACGAGTTTCTCAAAGTCAAAATGTTCATCTTGTGAGACCTAGCACCGCTGAAGCATATACTCTTCGCTGTTAAATACTGTACAAACTTCTGTTCTCATTGAGATTGGAGGGTGTAGCCTACAACAAACTAGATAAAACATATATACCACTCGCAATGCCCATTTACACATACACTATTTGGAATTGTGTGAAAAAAAATACCAGGAATAGGAGAGTCTTGTCTAATGCATAAAACTAAGTTTTTAAACGTTCGTTGTTTTACTGTAGGTATTTAAAAATGTAATGCTAAGTTTAAGTAGCCTAAGACGTCCTCAAAAAGTAGTGAATACATGGAAAAGCGTTTAATCTTGATCGGTTATATAGTTTTCCCGAATTAGGCAGATCTTAGACCGACAAACAGACAGTCAGAGATTGGGATAAGACTAGTTTTTGGACTTTTTACTGTAATAATAACAAACAACTCCATTCCATTCCATTTTGTTTTGTCATGAGAACATGAAGCTCCCTGACTGCAAGCCCGGTACCTATAATTACAACAACAAACAACCTATAATAACAAACAACTGCATGATTCTACGTAATGCACAAGCAAAGCTGTATTTATACATGTGTAGATCATAAACTCTTTGAAATGGTCAAAAAGCGTTTCAGCAACGTAAATAAAGAAAATATAAATATCATTTGTTTGCTTGGTTTCTATGGAGACCAATAATTGATAACTTCACATAAATCCATCTAAAAACTGGTAAAGCCCAGGGTCAAAGCCTATGCCGTTATCGAAACGGGAATAGATAGGCATGAAGTTATCCTGGTAACATAAATTATCATAGTACATTACATATAATTTACAATTATTTTAGATAATTTGTACTCCAGCAATTGCCTAATATAGAGACGTACTGTTCTGTATATTACAGATTAAAATATTACGTTGTAAATACTTTTTTGTGGCTAGGAAATAACTAAAGCAATCCAGGACAATCTGAAAACTTGATTGATTAGTTTATTTATAATCTAACTTCAGATTACTGAGGGGCTGCAAATAAAGGTTCGAAACTAAAAAAATCTATCCAACTACGCTATCTTCGTAGTATTGAAAATGTCAAAGAAGCTTCGACTGAAAAGACTTTTCGAACCGAATATCGAAAGACCACTGGAATGTAACAACATAATGCGACGTTCTTTTATTCGAAATCCAAGGCAGATTTGATTCAGAGTCAAGAGGTGGTTCCTAACAAAGGGGCAGATCACTGGAAGGAGTTGAGGAGTGGCAGAAGAGTTCGTTATCTAGACGGCATCGATCACCGGCTCTATCGATACAGGTGATGGTACGCCGTCTTATAATGACGCTCGTGTATATAATGAGAACCGCTTTCAAATAACTGGAATAATGAGCCCGGATCAAAAACACCGCCCGGTGGTACTCCTGTCGAGGGTCCTTGGTATCCCGTCGATCCGGCATATTGATGTGTTGCGATCTCTTTTATCCATAAATTGCACTTTTATCCCAAACCAAAACCGCCCCTCCCCCCCCGCAACATCGGTACTTCGCGTCGTATGCGCAATCAGGACCGCGGCGCGTCTAAAGTTCAATAAAGGCTTTACGGGTACATTTGCATGGAGAAATTAATTGATAGCGGGTTGTAGTCGTAATTCTGAGCAAAGAGTATCCCTGTTTAGAAAATTATACGATTCACTGATAAATGTAAACCCACGGTTGAGTACTGTGATAGCTTTTGATTTCGGTGGATAAATATGCGAAGAACATCTTTCGTGTTTATAGTTTACGCTTATTTGTCAAAACATCAATGATAATATTTCTATTGAAATCGCAAATGATATGTGTACATTCCTTATTTTGGGGAAAAGGTTCGAGAAGCATTATAGGATGAAGGAGTCTATTAAAAGAAGTAGACACTAATTCTCCGTCCACAACATCTTAGGGATTATTATTCTCAAGAATTTTTTGCATTTTGTAAATAAAATAACACACCTTGGGGTAAAAACCCTAATGAAACAATGATAATATTGGAAATCGTGGTAATATTTGAGACATGACATTTTATCGTAAGGCAGACTGCAGAACTATTGATAATAGGCTACACTCCTGGAATACGTTTCATCTAGCTTTTGAATTACCATAGCATGTGTTGTTTCAATAACAACTCTATAGGCCCTATCGATTTTTAAAAATCATTTGTAAAATACTTTCCAATTAGCCATGGATTAAAGTAAAGGTTTGTAGTAAACTATACGTGTTACATGCTACAAAATATATCATGTTAGGCCTACCATATAGTTGTTAATATAGATCTCCGTTTAGACTACAAAACAAAACAAAAAAACAAGAAGGGTTGTTTTATTACCCTGGCTTAACAACAAACTCGGTGCTATACATCTTACCCTCGAGTTAAACGTGTTTTCAAACTAAAAAAAATTTATTTAAATTCCGTGTAATATAGTGGTTTTACGTGAATCACGTCACATTAAGCGAGTGGTAAGTGAAGTGCTAAAGTGCCAACCTGAGAGTGAAGTGCTGAACTACTGAAGTGCTGAACTGCAGACGTGAGAGCCAGTGAAGGAACGCGCTCTAATCAGAGTAAATGCTGGCGAGGGCGATCGTATCAGCAAAGGTTCAAATCTATCTCCAACATCAAATTTTCATAATGGCGGCCGGATGTGCCACTCGACCCTATAGTCTGATAGCGATATTTCTCCCCGGCATTTTGTGCTGCCGCCTCTTTGTCGACGGTTATTTTAAGCCTAGTGGTTTCAAAATCACGCCTCTCGATCTTCATGAGGAACCTTTAACTGAAAAATTTGCTTTTCTACGAAAACTTTTACTATGCATAGCATACCTAAATGTAATAATCGCGCTAGTGTTGTGTAAAATTAAAGACAATAAGGGTTGGGTTCACTTGTAACTTTTTTATAATTACGTTATATGTTCCTGGATCAAGTCCAAGTCTTGTTTACTGTGGTGACTAGCGCCACTTCTCTTGAAGTTACTGGATGCTTCCACGGTCACTTAATGTAGAAACGTGGTCTTCTGGCGACGACAGGTGAGTGTTAGTGCTTCATCGTTTTTTACAAGGTCGTCGCCAGAAGCCGACTCTATGTTATATGTTATTGTATATTGTAAACATATGTGAACACTTCTCATATCTACATCTCTAAGGAAAATAAAATACAATCTCTTATATTAATACGTGAGGGCTGTTTTTGTGAACACTTTTCCTCCCTTATTTATGGACCAATTTCAACGTACGGTGTGAAAAGATTCGGCCCAATTCGTAGTTTTGCATTAAGGTTTTAGAATTTAATAGTTCCTACCCTTAAACGCATGAGACCCTGTCGACCCTTTCGAAGGTCGGGGTTTCACAATAAGAACTACATTGAACAAATAAAAAAAAAACAAAAAAAACTGCTGTTCATAAAAAGAAACTCACGCTTCTTGGGAATAAATATTAATGATTGTAATATTCAGGAGGTTAAAGACCAATCCAAACAATTACCGTAATCAGTTTTGTTGGAAGAACATTAATGAATCAATTTTGAAATTAGAGGACATAAGAAAAATACGAATACTTTTCATTACTCATTCAGTCATCAATCTTGAAAATTATCATCTTGCCAAGAATTTAAAATTTTTGAATAGAATATGGGCAAGGGATACCCGCTCTGGCTCGTCCACGCTTCGCATTCCTCATCACAGAACAACTGTTTATAATAAATCATGTTTAGTAACAGCATACCGCCTATTGAACTCCATACCTATTACTATCAAATCCATAGAAAAGCGATCCCG